GGGGGGGGGGGGGGGGAAGAAAAGGAAGACAGTTCAGCATTCACAGCATTTGACTGGAAGTGGAGAACAGAGAGTATCAGACAAAGCAACGACTACAAAGTACGAGACCCAAAACTTTGCACTGAGAAGTTATCAGACCAATCCAGTGTTCCCGAGCCACTCCTCCGCCGCTCCTCCTCTCAAAATCCCTTCTGCCAGTCAAAAATGCTCCTCTCAAATCCCGCATACTGAACACCACCAAGCCACTCCTCCGATCCTCCTCTCAAAATCCCTTGTGCCTCCTGCTGCTGCGTCCTTCGACTGTTTGTCACTAAATTACTTCCCGTCCGAACTCTCCAGACAAGGGGATTATAAACATGCGATGCTCATATTACCCGACAAGCGAGTCGATTCAAATGCGGATAATGTTATAATAAACTAGGCTACCAGAGTGGCCCGGGAGCACTTATTTGGCCGGGCCAAAAAAAAAAAAAAATCAAAAAATGATTTCAAAATCACAAAATCAAAATTATTTTTAAAATTTTTAGTTTAAATTTGGTAAAGAATTTCGATGTGACTGACCCTGAGGCAAACGTTGTTCAGTTTGTTTTTCTGCATAACATAGGTTTTTTTTTTTCTTTTCTTTTCTTTTTTTTTTTTTTTTGCTGGGACCTTCCTTGGTCCTTTCACGGCCGGGCCGCTCGGAAACACAGGGTGACCCGGGCGGCCCGGCTGGTAGCCTAGATTAGAAATTAATACAAATTATCAATAATATAATAATGACATTATGAACATCAGAGGAGAGCAGTAAACAATGGCATACCATCTCTTCCCCAACATAGACAGCACGCCGGGTACGGTCATTTTACCTGTATCTAGCCCGAAAATTGCCCCAAATGCAGCTACAATGACCATGAGTTCACTTCGGCAGATCATGACGGTGGGAATAACAGCTGAATGATGAAGGGAAAGGGGTAATGTAACCCCTAACTAGCAAACTCACATTCTTTGTTGCCTCTTCGCCGGCTCCTTCGGCCCAGGCTCTATGCAACTGCTGTGTTAAACTGCCAACGGAGATCCCAGAGAAAAAGAACTTTCAGCTACCAGTAGTACCTGAAAGGAATAAGTTTTAGGTGAAAAATTAAATCATACATTAGAAAAGCAGTGGCATAAGGAGTTGCATAGTAGCATGAGCGGAACAAGGTGGCACAAGGTCCTGTTTTATTATGCAAAAAACGAAGGCAGGCCAAACAAGGTGAGCAAAAAGAATTGAACGGAACGGAAAGGGGAAAAGCGGGGGGAGGGGAGCCTGTCTCTTATACACCCTTCCAACCGCCCCCCAATACCTACCATATCCGCCTCCACCCTAACCACCATCGACCATAGCAAGTCAGCAAAAGACTTAAAATGACTGATGTGGGCCTCTGCATAGTCGCCTTGCTGCCAGTTTCTGCAGAATGAGCATGCAGATCATGTATAGGCACTGGTTGGTGGATGCCAACTGGTAATGCACGACTGGCCGCGGCAGAGCACCTGGCAGTCGAAGTCGGTGATTGGCAGCAATGCAACCCTGTTGAAACACAAAGAGAGAGAGAAATTTGCGGATTCATCCAAGAAGGGGAAAAGCTGAAGTGGTCCTCCTGCTTTCCTTCATGAAGCAAAAACCTTATGGATCCCTCTTCACCTCGCTCATTTGTGCACACAAAGACAGAACTACACTCTGAAGGGCATCGCAGAGGAGATGAAATACAATAAGGTATCACATCTCTGCCTGGTGATTGTCTTCCTCCCCACCCCCTCCTCCTCTCCTCCTCCTCCTCCTCCTCTCTCTCTCTCTCTCTCTCTCTCTCTCTCTCTCTCTCTCTCTCTCTGTGTGTGTGTGTGTGTGTGTGTGTGTGTGTGTGTGTGGGTGTGTGTGTGGCTCTCTGTCGGCACTTTGAAAGCAGTTTGGCATGATAGACAAGAAGGCATACACGATCTGAAGCTTCAATCTATGCAGACAAATGCTTCTGAAGCTGCCATGTTGTCGAAATGGAGAATTTTTTTCCTTGCACGCACTGCACGGCCCAAAAAACTGCCCCCAAAAGCGGTCAAATGTATCTGGAGGTAATGCAATCCACATACATCCGGGAGGGGTCCAGTGTTCTGAAAACGCCTGCATCTGGGAAGGCCAATGTTGTCCAACCAAAAAGAAAAATACGAAACAGTGTCACAGGCCCTCGTTTGTTGTACTCTTCTCCCTCTCTGCACACGGTTTACCGTGCAGCCCAGTAAACCGTAGGCAGAGAAGGAGAAGAGGACATCAAACGAGGGGGGCTGTGACAAACTGTTTCATCGGAGTTTCGCCGACTCATCCGGATAAATATATTGTCACATAACTACAAACTAAAAGAGCGCACTTTGCGGAACAAAGAATAAAAGCAAAAAACGGGCACAGTGATAACATGCAAAAATAAAAAKWAAAARAAAAARAAAAAACAAGGGCAGATTGAAACCATTAAATTTCTCATTCTTCTTTGAACTCCACCTCCACCGTGCCTCTCACGTGCAAGGCTCGCCACGTTGATGAAGTTGAGCGCGAGCT